TAAACAAAATGGGGGGGGGCAGATCAAAACTGGAGCAGACAAAATCTGGAGCAGATCTGCATGGCAACCAATCAGCTTCTATCTCTCATTTTCAAATCCCAACTGAGCAAACTGAAGAGAGAAGCTGATTGGTTGCCATGCAGATCTGCTCCAGATTTTGTCTGCTTTAGTTTTGATCAATTCCTCCCAATCTGTTTTTTTTTTGCAGCACACAAGCTGAACATACAAATGGTCAGTGATCCTTCCATGTTCTTACGGAGCTCCACCTTTTTACACTTTGTGCCAGAGGAAAGGGCAGAAGTGATTTAACCTATAAGCCTTTCTCTCATTAACTCTGTATCATGTAACCCAAGCCGCGTCGGGGTGATGTCAGGTCACCAGCCGTCCGTTAGTGTATAGAAGCTCGCACTTGATCGAGTTCCAACTTGTTTCATGAAAATAAATATTTAGTGTATGGTTGGGATAGGCGTGTATCTATCTATCTATCTATCTATCTATCTAGCTCTCTCTATCTATCTATCCATCTATCTATAGATCTATCTATCTATAGATCTATCTATCTATAGATCTATCTATCTATCTATCTATCTATCTATCTATCTATCTATCTATCTATCTATCTATCTATCTATCTATCTATCTATCATGTATCTATCATTGCTAATTGTCCGGGAAATGTTCCCAGCTTTCAAAACTGGCCAACTGTGCTGCTAGGGTCAGTTTATGTGGACGGTTCTGAAGGAGAGCACGCAGCATCCATGATGCTTCAGCCTTCGTTGGGCTCTGCAAGCAGAGAGAACCATTGAAGGGATTAGCTAAGAGTGACCAGTGGACGTGGAAGTGGTGGCTTAGTACATACACCCTTTCAAAGCTGGCAGTTGTGGAGGGAGGAGGGGGCCGGGGTGCTTGGCAGGTATCGCAAATGGCAGCTAAAATAACATTTGGTGCTCATGTGAACAAGGTCAAAAACGTCTCTTTTCCTGATGATCCACAACCCAAAAACATATCGATAGGTTCAATAGCTTCCACCCAAAATCTGCCTAGTGAATGTTTTTGTGTATGCTTTGAGCTACTTGGGAGGTGGGGACTGACTTGAATAGCCTAAAACACCAATTGAAGCCTCACACCTTTCTATCTCTTCATAGTACTGTAGCCCACATGTTATGATTTGTGACTCATTTTTGCTTGGAACATTTTTAAATACCTTTTTTCTCTTCGTGAAGTACTTAGTGAAGTGCTGCTTCCTGCACGTGTCCAGTGCTCCGTGCTGGCAGAGCTGAGTAACAGCCACACCTCTTATCAAAAGTGTCCTCACACAGACTTGTATTGCAATGAAGGTGAGGGACATGTCTGACTAGGTATGCTACTAAGTGCTGATTGCCGAGAGCAGTGGGTTTAACTCTGTTGAAAATACAAAGTTATATTTATACACTGGATATAACTGCTGTAACAGGAAAGAGAGTCATGCCTGTGGCTGTCAGAGTCTTGCAATACCTCATGGGACTTGTAGTACTACAGCAGCTAGAGTCCTTCATGGGACTTGTAGTTCTACAGCAGCTAGAGTGCTGAGGTGGCCTACCCCAGATCCAGGTGCTCCTGCTTCATTCTCTAAAGACATGCTGGTAGGTTGATTAACTCCTGTCCAAATTGGCCCTATGTATGTGTGTATGTGAGATAGTGCTCCTTGAGGGCAGGGACTGGTGGGACTCAATAGTATGGAGATTTACATTACTATATAAATGCCCCAAAAAATAAATAAATGAGATCTGAATTGCCTAGACTAGTAAAACGCAGCGTCCTCTACTGATCAGCATTTTTTGAATGCTCATATCCGGGTCAGGTTCTGAAAAATTCACCCGATTGGCTCAACTCATAACTCATACGCATGATTTCTGTGGGTGTGCGTGCTTCCATATACATATTTGATGCATAGACGCATTGCCCTACAGGTGCGGCTCTGCCTTTTGGCTCGCAGCACGGCCCCATCCGCTTAGGACCTGAAAGCCGTTATTCACACATACTACAGTCCGGAGGAGATTTATTGTTCAGCTGTTAGAAGATGTTCTGTACCATTTCCAGTATAAAACAAGCTGACCCCCTGTCTGCTGCACCCAGCTGTTCCCAGGCTCCTCGGCCGCGCCTTTCCATTGGACGGGAATGCCGAAACAGGTGCCCTCCTGGTGGTTTGCATTAGTTGCGATAATGGTCATTTTTACACGCCTCGGTGGATGCGCAGACCAAGGCGCTGCAACATCGGGAAGGGGTTACATGGATATGCGTGTCCGCTTATTCGCGCTGCCTACTAGAGACACGTTGGCAGGAGCTTTGCGTCGGGATAAAGCCAAAACTGTAGACTGCTGTCCAAGAATAATATTGTAGAAGGTTATTATTAACTTGTAGTTACAATGCATACGGTGCCGGCACTCTTACCCTGACTTGGATGATGAGAACTATAAAGATATACTGTGTATGTAGATAGAAAGAGATACATAGATCACAAAATATAGGGGGGGGGGCGTGGCAGGGCATTGAAGTAAATGGCACCAGAGCCCCCCATCCGCGCAGTGCGATCGCCCGCACTTAGAATGCAGACAAGCACTATTTTGTTAGGACTGGACCGGACCGCAGGCATAATGTGCCGATCGCATTGCGGCCAGAGGGCATAGCTACGTTGCCATTCACTTCATTGGACCACCATGCCCCCTCCTGCCCCACAACCTGGTGAGCCGGCCGCAATGCGATGGAGTGCGTTCTGGCCAGAATCGGGCCGGAACGCACTGTGTCTGGTGTGAATGAGGCCTGAGTGATTATATTTTCCCAGAGATTAATAACAGGAACATTACAGTCATCAATGCAGTCATGAAAAGTCAACTTCAGAGTACATAGGTTTCATCTGTTACTGCATATGGGGGGACAGTCCCTCTTTAGGACCCAAATCCCTCTGTTCCTCTCTCCTCCATATTCTCCTGTTTAAAGGATAACCCCCCTTCTCTATTGTGCTACAAATAACAAAAGAACTGTAATGATACACCTCATACCTGCTTGATTCAGTGCCAGCCTCCCTAGTCATCATTTTTGAGCAGCACGTGCCTTCTATGAATTGTCTGGAAACATGTACAAAAGGAAAGCCGCCGAGGAACGGAGGAGTAGATAAGCTGCAGTGTGTTTTGTGAAAGAACGCATTGCCAGCAGACCTTTAGATGTGTTCTCTATTTAATCCCTGCCAGCCAATCATAGACGAGGCATGGGTGCATTCAATTGTAATCGAATGCTGCTTTTTTTTTTTTAACTGTAACACCCCCCCATCATATGTAGAGGGCGCCATGTCTGGCGGGGTCTTTGATGATCAATTCAGGTCTCAGTGGACACCATGTGGAAAGTGAAAGATTATATTTGCAAGTTAGGTATGTTAAGATATATCTCTAGACAAAAGCTTTTTTTGCAGGAAGGGTTAGATTCTCTCTCATGTTTTTTAATGCAGCTCAAGCATACCTCAAATACCCTGAATGCATGCTTCATTTGGGGTGCTGCTTGTCTGCAATAAGGGTGATTCTCCTGCTGAATAATTTCAGCAGGGGGGCGGAGCTGGGAGTTTAAAAGCTGAGATTGCAATTCCGGTGTCCCAGGAAGGTAGCACCAGTGACAGTGGCAGCGTTTTTCCCAAACCTGGAGTATATTTAGATGCTTTGCACCTATCTATCCATTTTTTGGATTGCTTGGGCCTGGCTCCTGCTGCGGCGCTATTAAAAGCCAATATTCCGTTGTAAAAGTCAAAGTGATTTAGTGAATGACCCCACTCAGATCTTTAACTGTAACCTTGCGATGCCTCGATTGCTACAATGATTTTTAATGCTAACAGCCCAAAACCTTTTTTTTTTTTAATATATATTTTCTTTAATTTTTCCCTCAGTGTGAAGTTTTATAGCGGGTACTTCCTTCCAGCATACATTTGGCATTATACATAAAATATTTGCTCCTCGTTCACTACTGCCACTTGGCTGCTAGGCGATGCCAACTCTGCTTGACTGCAAGTGACAGATATATTGGTAAAATAGTAATTAATTCCCTCGCACTTATTAGTTTAGCTCTAATAAACTGTATTTTAGCCAAATTTATTGTGAGGACAAATGGAATATTAGATGGAGAATAGACAGGCTAATTTGATGCCGGCTGTGAATTATCAGGGTGATATATAAGTCAGAGAAGAGATCGATAGTATGTAGATGGAGAATGTTATTATGTTACGTGGACATAGGCCAAGGTGCTGGGATTTATCCTGGTGGGGGAGAGGTTGATGAAGGTGGGGCTCTTGAGCTTTTGCTCTTCTGATGAAGGGAAAATGAGGAATGAGCCTTTAAGGAAAGGTAGTGAGCACCCACGTGAAGAACGGACAGCTTGTCTTTTAAAATATATAAGTATAGATGAATAAATATAGGCATATATATATATATATATATATACAATGTATACCGATCAGCCGTAACATTATGATGTCTGACAGGTGATTCATTGACAATGATTTTCTTCAATGGCACCGGGAGGTGGAGGGGATATATTAGACAGCAAGTACACATTTTGTCCCAAGTTGATGTGTTGGAAGAAGAAAAAAATGGGCAAGCATAAGGTTTTGAGCGACTTTGACAAAGGCCAAATTGTGATGTCTAGACGACTGGGTCATTTGCAGTGGTCAGGACCAACCAAAAGTGGTGCAAGGAAGGAGAACCGGTGAACCAAGAACAGGGTCATGGGTGGCCAAGGCTCATTGATGCATTTGGGGAGCGAAGTTTGCCCCGTGTAGTCCGATCCACAGCTTTCCTTCCGAGACGTAGTGGAGTCCATGCCTTGATGGGACATGGTTGTTTTGAGGGCAAAAAGGGGGCCTACTCAGCATTAGGCAGGTGGCCAAAATGTTATAGCTGATAACATCTGTATTGTAGATTCAAATGTGTTATGACCACTAGATGAATCCGAGGACCATAAGATTTCCTAGACAGGAAGTTAGGGGAAATCCCCCCAGCACGTCACAGACAGCAAGAAATAAACTGACAATGGCTTGAACCCTTCTTTAATCTTTGCAAAAATAATACAAATTGAATGGATTTTTTTTTTAAATATTTGCCTGAAGTTCAGCTCTAGTGAACAGGCGTTGTTAAACCAGGAGCAGGAAACACTTCCCCCCCGAACAGGCAGACCGAGCCCGGAATTGTCAGCCTCTTTGTAGGAGGCCTCCGAATGGACTTTTCTATTCATACACAGCCACTTCCAGCTGTTGTTCTGGAAATCAGCACGTAATCTCTCGGGGTCAGAGGACAGTCATCCATGACTGGTGCCTTTGAAAAGGTTGTGCTGATTTCAGTTGTCAGATATTACCCCCTTTTTCTCTTCCTCAATAACACCCATTCTGCCTTTTCATCGCGAGGGACCCAGCCTAGAATTGTATTACACGAATTTAAGGTCTTAAATGTGTCGGCCGCATTGTGCGGACACGACATGCTGTGGATGGGATAATTAATTCCCTTTTGATTGCCGGCAGAAATATTCCGGGATCCTTTGAATAGATCTTTGCGCTGGATCCAAGGTGGAGTGTCTTCAACGGATGCACACAATAGGCGGGTGGGCGGATTGGTGGAAAATGCTGTGTTTGTATGTTTTCTGCTGCGACCAACATAACTTAAGGGAAACCTCTGCTTTGAACAACCTCCTACTGTACCTAAAGTCTTTTAACTATAGGATCTCATAAGGTTTTCCAAGCTATTCTGCTGTGGGTGTGCCCTTAGATTTTTTATTATATTTACATATTGATTTTATCCCTGATAAGAGGCAGCTTTGATCCCCCGAAAAGTGTTTATTTTCCATATTGTAGTGAATAGAGATCCTTAGGACTTCAGTCTGTGATTGTGGTGCTTCTAATATTTCTTCAAATTACATTTTGAAGCGCTCCCAATAGGCCCGTCCAGTTATGAGAGGTGCCTTCCCCACAAACTCTACTCCATCCATTCCACATGATACCCATTGCAGGGATCTAGGGCAATCCACCTTCCACCCAGACCAGGGGTAAGGCAACCTTGGTTCTCTGGCTGTGGTGAAACTACAAATCCCATAAGGCATTGCAAGGCTCTGACAGGCACGACTCCCAGAGGCAGAGGCAAGATGGAATTCAAAGTTTCACCGAGGCTGCCTACCCCTACTCTAGACTGACTGTACGTGGTCTATTTAAGGACGACCGCCAACACCTGTATAGCTTGTGTCCATTAAACCATGGAGAGCTGCCAAAATTTAACTTTTTTCAAAGCTTGCACAGCTCAGTGTACACTGGGATGAAGTACTCCTATGCACATGTGTGGGAGTTACATCATCCAGGTCTGGCCAATCAACTCATAATGAACTCAGAAGAAGCATTAGAAATGGCAGCAATTCGGATAGAGCCCATCTTATTTCCTGGCTGGAGGATGTTCTGCAACATCAAATTCTTTCCTCCCCAGCCTGGCTCGTTGGATTTCAGTTCTTTCAATAATTGAGTCTCAGCAATCCCATGTAGGCATTACCACAGCTTCCTTTATTCAGGAAACGATGTGCAGCACCCTGCCAACCCCTCCCACCAGTCATGATCTGCTTGCATGGCGTGGCGAAGCACAGAGACCGAGTGATGATCTCCCTGTCTCTCCTATAATGTACTGTAATGAAAACTGAATATTGATGAGGGGGGAAGGAACCAGGAAAGGCAAAATATAAGCAGATTAAAGGAGAACTATGAGGTGAGTGCTTTTCACTCACCTCATAGTTCTAGCCGACCTGTGACAATGAAACTGTCACAGGTTGGCTCAGTAAATCGGGAGGTGAGCAAATACATACCGGCGTTCGCTCACCTCTCGATCCTGTCACGGCTCTCTGCCGTGACAGGGGAGGGGCTGGATTCCCCCCTCCCTGCTCCGATCCGCCAGCGCTGACTGGTGGATCGGACGGGGGAGGGGGCGTGTACAGCTGGCTCTGCCTCTAGATAGGCAGAGCCAGCTGTCACTCACGCAGCTGGGCGGATCCCGACACAATTGTCGGGATCCGCTTCAGCTGTAGCTCGCACAATGATCAACTGTTGCAGTAAAGCCCTCTTGATCTGCTTGCTCGCTTTTTGAATATGATTCTAAATGTTGATCTGTATCATTCCCACCCAGAAGCACTGTGAGAAGCTGCTGAACACATTGCTGATAACATAAAACAAGTAATTTATGAGAACTTTTTATAGCTGACATTTTTCCTGCTTGGCGCTAGTAGATCTCTCACCTATTTTAGGCAGAGCCGTCCGTTCAATAAAAATGGTATTTTTTTACATCAATGTCTTAGGACTACATTGTTACAAGCTCCAGAAAAGAGAAAAAATCTGAATTCTGCTTGTCAAAATTGTCTTCATCATGGAGAAGGGAAGACTTTTTAAATCCAAGGTGTTTGCGTGCCGTCCCTCTCATGCGTGGATCTCGCTGTGTGCGTAACAGCTGTTCCTGTAAGATTTCCCTGGTGTAACCTCAGATGCGGAGACGGGGGTCTCTCGATTTTGTTTGGTTGGAACTCAGTTCTGTCTAATCCCAATCAGATGTTCCTTAAGAGCAGAACTCTAAATCTTTCAAGGATCTCAGCACTCTTCGAAGGATACCTCCGTACTGTTATCCTTTGCTTCATATGTTAGCAGTCAGTCGAGGTTATCCAAGGTAACGGCGTATTAAAAACGGAGCGTGTTTCACATTTCCTGTTAAGTTGCCTATGCATTAAGGAATCTACCAGGTGCAGACGTGTTATCCTCCTCTTCGAATCTTTTAGCTCGAAAACCGCACAATAATTCAGGACCACGGTGCTTTAGTGCATTGTGCTTTTCGTTCCTCGTCCATTTATGAAAATCAATACCTTTTTTTTTTAAGCAGCCTTTCAACCACTTCATTGCCACTTGCTGGCTGTATTAGGGTGTCAGACCAGCCTGTACAGTGCTGCTTCACCCCACTCCATCGAAAGACTTTAACCCAGCAGAACCATTGTCTAACAGTCAAGAAGTTTACATTGTAACTTATTAAGAAGGACCTGTGCTTTAGAAGCTGTGGCCAAAAATGCAAACAGAAGGCAAAGTACTAGTCACCGGTATTGCATGTGGTCTTCCTGCAGCTGGTCGTTTCCACATTACTGACTTAGCATGCCTTGATCTTCTCTGTTTCTGTGTGAAGGCGGCCATCATGGTAGAGGCACGACTTTCCTTCCTTATGTCAGAGCTTCCTCCCTTACTCCTCCCCTCAATTTTGGAAATGCCCTTTCACTCCCTGTCCCATTGGAGAAACAGACAGCAGTGAGATCCTGACAAGGCTTCTAACAATACCAAACTCCCAGTGCAGATCACCCTGCTGCTTTATGTGCTTCTGCACTAGAAAGATGTGGGGCTGTAGTAATGGCCAAGAGACAGCGTCCTTGACATTTGATCGTTGTGTTGGCCAAAATTGTCTTAGCAAAAATAGAATTTCTGACTACCACTGATCTCTGGGATGGGTTTACTATAGAAGTCCTTTTTAAGTTCTACTATAATTGCCTGCTCAGGTTACAGAAATAGCTTTTTATTAGCTACAAATATTATCTGTTTCAAGCTACCCAGGCTACAAATAACTTAACTTGTAATGGGCCGCTTTGAAAGCACCCCTATTCCTAATCCCGACACATCCTTCTACCTGATAAAAATGAGAGGGGCGCCTTCTCCTAGTGCAAATAAGTTTTATTTTTCAATAAGAGATGAGATAAAGTCTTAAAAATGGATACTCACAAGAGTGGAAGGATCACAAGCATTAGACACAATGTAAAAACGAGAGCCAAACTGATACAGTGAGACTTTATCTCATCTCTTATTGAAAAATAAAACTTATTTGCACTAGGAGAAGGCGCCCCTCTCGTTTTTATCTTGTAGTGTCTCCAGTCTCCCCGACTGCTTTTGGAGCTGCCTCCTGCATAGATGCCACTACATCCACTCTGTCGCTAAGACTGTATATGACTACCTCTGGCGCTGCTTTCTTAATTTTTTGTTCACATCCTTCTACCTAACTGACAACATTCATAAAAAAACAATCCAGGGTACACTTTGCTATGGAGGCTGGATATTTAAAGGAGAACTATGGGGTGAGTGTTTTTCCCCATAGTTCTCCTCAGGGTCACGGGAGGACATAAACTAGCGTCCCTCCCGTGACCCAAAACTCAGTATATCGCAAGCTACAGCTCGCAGTATACTGAGACCGCCGAAGCCGGGACGGATCCCGACATTACTGTCGAGATCCACCCAGCTGCGTGATTGACAGCAGGCTCTGCCTATGTAGAGGCAGAGCCAGCTGTTCCCGCCACCTCCCCGTCCGTTCCTCCAGTCAGCGCTGGACGATCAGAACGGGGAGGGGGAATCCCTTCAGGGAGCCGTGAGTGACAGTCACGGCTCTCTGCAGGGACAGGATCGAAAAATGAGCGAGCGATGGTATGTGTTCACTCACTTCCCGATCTATTGAGCCAACGTGTGACAGTTTCATTGTCACACGTCGGCTCGAACTATGAGGCTGAGTGATTTTCACTCACCTCATAGTTCTCCTTTAAAGTAGACTTGCCTTGAGAGAAATGTGCAGGCTTCCAGTGCTGACCGCCTTCCCAAAGTGCTAGTTGCATGGCTTGACCCAATAAGTTTAGAGGTTAAAAAGAGCTTTAAAACGAGCCATCACTGACTTCTCTAGCTGCTTGTACTATAAAGTAATTCATCCTCAAATATCACAACATAGACTCTGATGTCAGGATTCAGTCAGCTTCTAACAGCTTACAGCACTTGTTCTCTTACATTGGAAGGTTGGCAGGCTGCCACGGTTGTGCCTCCACTGGAGCTGTAATTTCAGCACTTCTGCTGTGACCTTTGAGGATGAATTTCTCAACAAGGCCCGCAGCTACAGAGTTCAGTAAAGACTTATTGTAAAGCTTTTTAAATGATTTATCTGTAATTTTAAATATTCTAATGTAGAGTACTAACTTAAAGCGTGACACTCTCAAGATTATAATGCAATACAGTAAAGCAATGCTGTTTTTATCAAACTGTATAAGTCATTGAAAACAGGTGTGTGTAATGAAATATTAATTGTGCCGGTCCTCTCGTTTCAGGACATTTGGGCTTCCAAGACAGTTTTGTGACTTCTGGAGTTTTCAGCGTTACAGAACTCGTCCGAGTCTCACAAAGTAAGTCTCTCGTCCTGTTATCTGATGATTTTTTTTATCATGGTTGTTCCTGTAAGAGGTGGCTGGGGAGGGAATATGACGCTCACACATCTGTCACACTGGCTGTTTGTAGAAACTATGTCTCTTAACCCCAATTTCTGGGAAAAATGATCATTTGTACATTACTCTGGGTGTTTAATTAAAATGATGTAAATTATGTGAAAAGGGCTGCTCCAAAGTATAAAAATCTAACCTTGTAGCATGGCAGGTCCCTCACACCGCACTCGGCTTCCGGGCACTGTGGGGAGGGAGCGATGTAATTCAAGCAGTGAAGTGCTCCAGTCACATCCCCAACCCTTCTCCCTACTTGCCCATTCACAAAATGCCCTGTGTGTTTCTCAAAGAATACAAGGCATATTTTATTTGGAGGAGAAGATATTATGTTGCATTCCTGCCCCCTCCTCCAATCACAAAACGCCTTGTATTGTTTGAGAAAAATAGAAGGCATTTTGTGAATGGTCAGGTAGTGAGGAGGGACGGGCATGTGACTGAAGCACTTCACTGCTGGAGTCACGGAAGCTTGGCGTTACGTGAAGGAGACGCCATGCTGCAAGGTAAGAGTTTTATACTTTGCAGCAGCCCTCCTCACATAGCATACAGCTTTCTAGAGATCATGTATGCACCCAGCGCCTTGTGCAATTGATATTTTATTTTGGCTTTAAGTCAATGCAGACAGATGACAACAGCAAATGGCTGGCATAAAATTTCTCGTTCCTCACTGCTGTCACTAAACCGTCTTGAATGGACAGGCTGGCTATTACTTCTGCCCCAAAAAATGGTTCATCTTCTTCTTCTCCTTCTTTATCTCTCTCTCTCTCTCGCTCTTTCTCATTACACCCAAGTGCTGAAAGAAAGTACTGCGTACCCACACTACTGGACCATAATATGCCAGACTTGGCCTCTAATGTAACACAAATCCTCTACACAGCACCAGAAGAGTCTTCCAAACCTACAATGCAAATGTCAACTTTAATGAACCTAGAACAAATATGCAATAAAGGACTTCTGACTCCTAATCTGTAGACTTGTTCCAGATTAGGGACCAGAGAGTCAGCATTACAGTCAGGCAACTAGTGTTCTCAGATTAGAAGCATTTTCACATATTTTAGACAGGTTTACTTTGCACTTTTCTCCACTGTGTTTAATGGCAGCCATTTTGAATTCTAGTGTTTAACGATTGTTAAGTGTTTGAAAGCAGCAAATAAAAGCTCTTGATCGCATTGCCTTGTTATGGAGGGATTGTATCTTCCAGTGCATGGCCAGCATAACAGTAGCTGTAAATTCATCAGTCTTGTTCCCATAGCCAAAGGCATGCCTAGTCAAGGGTTGAATCATTCATGGCTGCCCTAAAGGGTGATGGTCAGCACTCAAACTGGGAAACTGTGTGTACAGTCTGCCAATACTTTCCTATTCTTGGTGAAGAGAAGAAATGAGGGTGTTACCGTGTATGCTGTGCATTTGTCCTTCAAGTGAGTCAAGGCATGGATCCTGACGCTTAAGAGGATGGGCACCAGTTTGTCAATGGCTGCCGATGGTAGACCACACTTTTCAGCCTTCTGAATCCTTCGTTGCAGTTATCATATAGTTACAAATACTTTCCCTACCAAGAGAACTGCACATGTGCAGCCTCAAATAATATCAAACCAACCTTCCCATATACAATGTAGTGTCACACATAGGAACACGTGTTGGTTATTTCATTAGGAAAAATTGCTTTTTTGTGTTTTTAACTTTCACTTAATCAGATACATAATCTGAACCAGATAAATAAAAGCTGCCATCTTATTGGCTGCTGCAAGTGACATATTGAGTCCAACTCATGTATTTTATTTGTACATTAAATCCATTGTAACGATTCACCCCTTTGGGTCCGCGCTCCCTCTTCTCTGAAGCTCCGGAAGAGCTGAGGGTTTTTGTTTGACCTTTCCAGAGTGCTAATGTCATCAGTATGAATGACAAAAGCGCAAGCCGATCTCTGCCAGTTTGTCAATATTCACTAAACACAATGAATTAAGAGGACCTCTCGCCATCCTGCTCGATTGATCAAAGGCCTATCGATTGCCTTCTGCCCAAACTTAAGACAGACAGCCCCGTCTGAGGACTCGCACACCACCTATCAAAATCAGTCTTTGTTGGTTTTTTTGCACAACAAAAAAGCAGAAGAATCACCTGGGTGTCTCTGGGTAACCCATCTGCTGTGTCTGCACTGCCGAGGTCACTGTTGGCTGGGTTGGAAAAATGCCTTTATGTATGAATGCAGCAGGCCTTGCAACGCACGCTTTTAGCACGCAGGATAATTACTGGCACACAGAGATGAATGAAGGATTGCGCAACATTTTATTAGAAGCATACACAATGATGTACCATGCTAAGGCAGCCATTAAAGTAGATAAAAACACAATCGCTAAAATCCCACATAAGTTTTAACATGTTAATGTGATTTCAGAAAATGTTTTCAATCTCTTTTACATCTGCAGCTTTCATTAAAATAATTCCTTGTGATCCCGCCATAAGGGTCTTTGTTCCTCTTCAAGTGTGACAACTGTTTCCCAGTTGTGCTTCTGTTTTGTCACCCTGTCACATGCACCCCTGATGGAGACTACAAGCAGCCGTGATGACACACATTGCACAGGCATGGTCCACCATTGCCACAATCAGGAAGACGGTTTTGAGCAATGATGTGCAGCCGATGCTGGAGAGAGTGTATGTAGACAGGAAGTGGCTGGAGGAGATCGGAGATCAGCAGCAGTGAGATAATAGGGTGAAATCAGTATTTTTTGGAAAACAAATAGCAGCTGTTAATGATAGTGCTTTGCCAAACTGAATGTCCTCCATATAGGGTCTACATTGAGGAAACAACATGACTATACAGTCTTGCCATGCATGATAAACAATGTATTCCTGGCTTCATTTATCTCCAACAAATGCTAGGTCCACCACATCATACACAGCATGTTCCCCAGTTTTAGCCACTGGACCTTCTTCATAGTTAACCAGGGAAAAAAATTTTCTTCCAATGGCAGATAATCACATGCCAGAAAATGGGGCTCTGTGCAGCGGCCATTCAAGGGACACCCTTGTCATTCATCATGGGAGATGATTGCTCAGGAAGAGTCCCTGGCTGGCTCTGCCTGAACAGCAGGGCCCCTCTGGCAAGAACGACATGACTAGTGCCCCATCATTGATCATGTGATTGACTCTAGGAGCATGCCACAAAGCATACAGAGATTGAAGGAAGTATATGCATGACTCTTGTGTGTAGCCAATATTTGCTTATCTCAGATTACAACTTAAATTGATTTGACAACATTGATTGCCAAACAGATTGCAGTTTTCTTATCACAGACCTCTGCACAATACTCAGGTACCCTCTGTATTAGCCCTCTGGTACCTCTTCAGGTCAAACTCGATAGAGCTACAGAAAGGCAGGAAAGGTATATACTACTCTGTGACCTCTGCAGATGCCGTATAAAGTCAATTGTATAATTGCTTGAAAATTTATAACATGAGATGAGAGCGGCAGCAAATAGGAGGCTTTGTGTGACCTCATATGAGGTATAAATATCAGATCCCAGAGCTAATCTCCGCTCTTCACATCTATCCGTAAAGCAGAGGTTCCTGAGACGGAAATGACTCGGGTATACAGATCTGCCGAGTGCGTCCTGCATACTAACTGCACTGCAGGAGTTCAGTACTCGTCTTTGTCTAGGATACCTTTTAAAAGCACTTTTACTTCCCTTATCCCTTGCTCCCCCATCAGCTAGCGCTCTGCTCTTCCCTTCAAGTTGTGAGTAGGCCCTCGGTATCACCACTTGCAATGTAGAAGATCACCAGCACTCATGACACTGTCACTATGGTGCCCTGAGGGCTTGTTTACACCTACTGGATGGCGCCGTGTTCCTCCAAGAAGATCACCAGCACTCAACAGGATTTGAAAGTGAACTGTTTTTACTTTTATTGAAGTAGAAAACATGTCCCATGCATCATTGAGCCAACGTTTCATGGGGTCCCTTCTTTAGGGCATTTTCACACCTAATCCACTGTGTTCCAGCACTGTTCGTTTCTGGAATGCACTGGATCGCATAATTACAGCCTCCCTGCATTCTGGGGTGAGAAGGGGCGTGGTGGTGCCATTCAAGTCAATGGCACCGTAGACACGCCTCCCATCTGCAGTGCCATCGCCCGCACAAGAATGATCTGCTGTAGTGCATACACTTTTTTTTTGCAACTGTACCATGGGCATTGTTGTGCCACACATTCTAATGCGGGTGATCGCACTACGAGCCGAGGGGCTGCAGTGTCATTGACTTCAATGCACCACCATGCCCCCTCCTGCTCCAGAACGCAGAGAGGCTGTAATAATGCGTTCCAGTGACTAACCGCGCTGGAACGCACTGGATTAGGTGTGAACAAGCCCTAAAGAAGGGACCCCGTGAAACGTTGGCTCTATGATGCATGTGACATGTTTTGTACTTCAATAAAAGAGAAACAGTTCACACTTTCAGATCCTGTTGAGTGCTGGTGATCTTCTTGGAGCAATATGGCGTCCATGACTTGGAGGAAAATGGCGTCATCCAAGTCATTAGTTGTGAACAAGCCCTCAGGGCGCCATAGTGACAGTGTCATGAGTGCTGGTGATCTTCTACATTGAGAGTGGGGACGCCGAGGGCCTACTCACAACTCGGAGGGAAGAGCAGAGCGCTATCTGCTGGTGATCTTCTGTTCTATGACTTGGAGGAACATTGCGCCATCCACCTTATCACTGTGAGCACCGCGAATAAAAACATAAAGATCTGCATGCTATATGGAGTGCAGGTGACTCACCACAACGGCTCACTTTCAAAGTAGGACTGCTGGTCTTGCATTGTATATGATGATGTCAGAGTGCGACCAATGAGCGGAGAGCTGCAGAGAAGTGGCTTCAATGGAACGGTCACACCAAGAGGGATAAGGTGCAAGAT